ATTTACATATAAATATAAGTGAGGCTAATTATATATGATATCTTCAAACACTTATATGTATGTATGTATGTTAATGATGAAATGATAAAATCTCTTTAATTCCAGCGAAGTAAACATGTGTCACAATCGCTCTTCAAAAGATGTCCTTCTTTCTGCTGTATAAATATATATGTATTGTACATACTTGTTACTCGCCAGGGAATATTTAAATTAAGTAACAGTTAATTTTTTCTTACACCCATAATGTTTTGTCAGCAACCTTTTATATAAAATGCTACATTAACTAAAAAAGTAATCCTTTATGAATAATAGCATAGCGCCATTCGTTTCTTCTCTTTGCTTTTGAACAGAGTGGAGCTCTTCCTCTTCCTCTGTTTCCACCAGCAGGTACTGCATCGAAACCTTTCAAAGCTGGAGTATTCTTATCGGTCCCAATCACATGACCTAGCCAACACAGCCGCTGTTTCTAGATTCGTTGAACTATGTCAATTTTGCTGTATATCTCGTTCAATTCATCGTTGCTTCGGCTGCGGTATTTGCCGTTCCCAGCTCGCGGAGGATCATAAATCTTACACAAACCCTTGATCTCGAAAACTCCTAATGCCGACTCATCAGATGACAACATCGTCCATGCCTCAGCATAATTTAGCAGAACGGGTGCGATAAGCGTCTTGTTGAGTTTGGACTTTGTTCGTTGGTTCTCCCATTACTTTTACATTGAATTGAAGGATTTATTCACCATAGTTAGGATTATCCAATTTATGCCAAATAAGCACCGATTTTCTCGATAACCTCTTACCATTTTCCAATAATGTCATTAGGCCTCTCTTATAAAAATCCTTATTCCTATATTCAAAACAATTGGGACAATCGATTTTCACAGACTTATCTTGAGGGTAATTCTTCACCAGCCAAATCTTTCGCCATATACAGGAACAGTTGGTAATCAGTTGATACGAAGTCCAGACTATGAGGTGGATGCATAAGGATCAATCAACCAAGCTCTCGGGCTTTCTTATGAGACACTTTTGATGTGTTTGCTTTTCGTTGTGCTGGTGAAACATCATTCCATTGTTAGTCAAGGTTGGGCGATTTTGAACGATTACTTCCTTCATATGGTCTAATCACTGACATTTTACGTTTAAATTAAAGTATGCACGTAGTGAAGTAAATTCTGTGGCATGATCTCACCAAACACATAACAACATCTTTCTGACCGTCAATCCTTGCTTTGAGATCGATTCCGCTGCAAAAATAGGCAGATTTTGTTCCGGTTTCCAGATGAAAATACGGTTCATGAAGTTTTCTCTCGTTAACCCATGGGGCCACATATAAAGGACTTGTTTTTACAACCCACCTTTTTCAAGTGATTTCAAAATATTTTTTGCGAAAGACATGTCAAACTTGATTTTCCACACCGTGGTGCCGGAACAGGAACGAAATCGAAGAGCCCAGAATTGTACACGATTGACTGCTATGGTATTAGGAATGTAAAAAATATTCACATTTTCAACTACTTGACTAGCGTCGACTAGCTGAGAATAGATCAGGCAAAATTCAACCAACAAAGCCAAAAGAAATTCGTCATGTGATTCTCTTCGGCTTTCGACGTAATTTACAGTCAAAACAAATGTTTAGTGAATGCCACATTGCATGTGAGACGATTGCGCCGTCTTTGAAGACTAATTCTAAATGGTTTCAAAAATTCCAGACCTGACCGTTTTCCCTAGTGGACGATCCAAAATTGACAAAGACCCACGATTGACACAAGAAATGATTACTATTGAGCTTGGCTGCAATGGCTATATCGGGAATATTAACCAATCATCTAGAGCACATGAGTACCACGAATTTTAAATGAAGCTCAAAAGGAGGCTCGAGTGTATTTTCCTCCTAAACCAATTCCAAAATGGTCAGTCTTGCAACTTTAGTAAAGTCCAAGTGGTGACAAATCTTAGTTCTATAAGAACGATCCAGAAACCAAACAGCAGTCCATGGTATTGAACCCAACAAAAGCAAATCCACCCATAATGTCTAAGCAAAAGTAATCATCAGTAAAAGTAATGATGTGAACTTACTTCACCCAATCTAAAATCGTAGCTGCTATTCCAATGGAAAAGGGTCAGACCTCAACTGCAAAATGGTACACCGAACACTGCTTGCCAAAAGTTGGAAAACAGGAAGAAAGAGGATTTGTGATGCTTCCTTTTACATCATGGCAACGCGGTATTCCACGCCGCAGAAATAACGAATGAATTTATTGTGATCTCTGGAATTGAAGACAAACGTCCAGCACCATAAACACCAGATATAGCAACTTTTGGTTTCTGGTTATTTCCAAAAATACAAAAAAATTTTAAAGAAACGGTATTTCATAGCAACGAAGGGTCTATAGGTATAAGAAATGCATTGAAACCAATGTCGATTATGTTGAGAAGATTAAAACGGACAAAGATTGCGAATAAATACAAAAAAAAGTGTCTTGGTCAACTTACCGAACTTTAGTTAATACCCTCGTAGATCTTCAAGTCTCCATTAGTCCCACGTTCAGAAAATAACAAAAATGCATGTGGCAGACCAAAAGCACGAGTTGGACCATAAATTCAGTCTTTTATTTCATGGCAGAAATACACCAGGAAGTCTTGACCTGCCGATGAGCATCCACAATTATAAAAACTATTTTTTCAACTTCTTTTTCATGAGATAGTGAGACGAACAAATGTTTAATGAATTTCTTAATATATTTCAGTCAATTTGAATACATTCAGGCTAAAGAGAATTTTTCAAACCACTCATAAACTGACCCAGAAATTCGAGCTTCGATGCCAATAGCATGAAATTTTGAAATTTATCCTTAAGATTAAAATTAAATTGACTAAAACTTTCGCTTTTCAGCTCGATAAGTACTTTAAAAAAAAAAAACACTAACAAAAATACAGCAATGATTTGTCACTTAAATATTATTGTATGTAACTCATTATTATTTACAAGCATAAAAATTAATTAATAATATAATCATCGTATCAGCAGTTATTTATTATTATATATATATTTTTTATGAATGGAAAGCACCAAAATTTTAATAAATAATATTAATTATAATTTTCACCTCTTATTAACTTTATTATTCATATTCACAAACACGTATTATATTATATTTGATTGTGTTGTGTTGTAAAAGTTACTTAGGGACATCCAATTCGTGGTTTCTCAGGTAAACAAGTCGAACTCTGTCAAACTTAACTACCAAACCATTGTTTTAGCCGAAAGTCAGGCATGAAAATTGTTAAGACGAACTACAAAATTAGTGATTCAAACGTGGCCACATTTGGCGCGATAAGGGGAGAGTCACAAAACGATCCAAATACTCAAGCAATCGCTAACATTTTAAAGAAATTTCAAGAGGCTGTATCGGTTGCAGATATTGTAAGGCCTGTGCAGCATAATGCTGCTCTTTCCATCTCAAATATTGCTGCTGTAAGTGAAAGTGTGAGGCTTTAGACTCGAATGTGTCTATTTAAAGTATTGTATCTATATAAATATCTAGATTGTATCTATATAAAGTTCAGGCAGTGGACGGCGATTTTTCGTACAAAATTTTCTTTAGCAACAAAGTACATTTCTCACTAAGAGAATACGTAAATAAGCAAAATTTTCCGCATTTGGAGGAAAGAACTTGAATCTTCAAATAATTGCAAAGAGGTCATTACATCAAAAAAGGACTCACTGTCTGGTCCGGAGGTGGTATTTGAATTTACGTCTTTGAAGACGACAACGCCAAGATTGACAGTGTGCGTTATAGTCGTTTGATAAACGATTTTTTTTTGCCGGCAATTGAAGAGCACGACTTGGAAAATATGTAATTTCAATAAGCTGGTGCCACATGCCACACAACTGGAGGACATTTGACTTTATTGCGACAGAAATTTACCGGCAGCGTGATTTCTCGTCTTGGCGATATCAATTGGCCATCAAGAATGTCCCATTTGGTACTGTTGGCCTTTTTTGTGGTGCTACGCGTAAGACAATGTTTACGTGGTTAAATGCTTAACTCTTGAGCACTCGTAAACAAACTTTCGTCAAGCTACGGCTAAGATACCGCCCTATACGTGTATGTGCTAAAAAGTGGTCGAAAACTACATGAAATTTCATAAAAAGTTGCGAATCAAGCATTTCAACAGAATTTCATGAAAAAAAATTATTTTAACTGCATTTTGTTTGTGTTTCTCTTTTTGAAACCGCAAAATGAATAACCTTTTTATTTATATTAAATCATATATGGGTGTATAAGTATGTATAATAATTGTTTACATATATAGATCAACGCCAATGGCCATCAATGAGTAGTTATTTTAAATAAATTCATAACATCATCCATCAAGCAATCAAAAGTCAATGAAATATCGTGTGTGTATGTGCCTGTGTGTGTATATATATGTGCGAATAGTTAAGCCGTAAGCGATCAGCGCCTACAATATACAATGTTCATCAATTAAATAATATACGGACATAAATGGCTTGATAATGTGAACCCTGCAGGAAATTCGACACTTTTTTATTTCTAATTTTTTAACAGCTCTTAATATGATAGTGGGGTTCTCGTTTCTTTCTGAAATTTTTGATCTAAGTAACTTTTAATACCCATGGAGGGATAACTGTGCTCAAGGCGTATATTTAGCAGTTTATTTTTACATTACATTTTATTACAGAAATAATAATGGTTTATACCACCATAGCCACTGCTATGTTATGTTAATTTCCTGCCCACCACAGATATGTTATATTTTCTCTTAAACTCTGAACTCATGATTTTCGTGCTTGAGATTCGCGATTCGAATCGCGTTGTGTGCAAATTTATTTTTATTATAATTTTTAATAAAGTAGAAGTTCTGCATGTTTAAATAGGTTGGCATTTCACCAATATTGGGATTAAAGAATAAAAACAAATATTAATCGTCAAAAATCGCTTTATTATATTTCAAAATATTCTTCCTCAAATTTTATTCACCTTAGCGTGCGTTTGAGCCAATTGTCGAAGGAACTTTTTTACTCTGATATGCGTTCATCATTCGCAGCAGTCGCCTCTTTAGGTGTCGAAAAACGTTAACCTCATAGTTTATTTTTTATATACAGGAAATGATTGTTTCACTTGATATGGGGATTTTGACATTGTCGTTGTAAATAGTGATCAGTATCTGGCGGTTCTGATTTGAAAAAACAGAGAATCATGAGGCTGTGTTTCATGCGGGATCAACTCGGGTATATTCACCTCATTTTTTGACACACATGCAGTCGGCTGCTGTTTACTTTCGGGATCGTAAGCGCAAATCACGATCGAACCGCTATCGTATTTTGTTTACTCTTGTTTGACCAATCAAAGAGCCTTTTTACCCTTAAAGAGATCTACGGCCTCGAGAAAAATCTCCATATCTTCGCTGATGCCAAAAATAGAATTAAGTTCATCGATGCACTGTTGATAAGTTAATTCACGTCGAAAGTTGTAAAAAAAAAAATAATCGCAGATTTAACTCCGTTTTTTGGCCAAGATGGAGATTTTTAGGTTACTGTAAAGAACATAATTTGCATCCATAAGTCGCGAGATGTTCTGAAAATATATAACATCAAAAATGTCAAACTTTACGATAAAATTGTCAGTTGTCAGTTTGCAACACTAGAGTTGCCAAATACCGCATTATAAAAGGCAATGCTCGTATGAAGCTGATGCATAGTTGAACAGTTGACAATTCATAAAATTTCGCTGTGCTAAAAATGCCAAATGCTAATATGAGAAAGAGATGTAAATCAAGTAGCAAAGTGCAAATTAGCTGTATTCTACTAATAACTAATACTTTTTTTCCTGCAGGGTAAGTCGGCGTATTTATTAGCGCTTGTAACTGACATGTTTACCAACGGCTCCGTGTCAACGCTTATAATTCAAATATAAAATAAAATAAAATTTACTTAATGGAGCACAAGCAGACACACACAAACGCGTACTCATGTATCCGCATATGCCAACTGCCTTTTATCTCATCACTGCGCAGCCTTCGCGTCGCTTTCGCCACTTAAATGCAATTTAACGTTAATTACTTAATGTGGAAACATAAATAATAATAAACAATAAGACCAACAATGGCCAAACACTGTACGCTATATACAAGATATATTATTTTTAATTTTGTCCTTATTTATTATTATTATTGTTTTTATTTTTATTTATTTTTCTGTAATAAATTTTTGCTATAAATGAGCGTTAAATTGCATTTACTCATCAACGGTAATAGCTGCTGCAAGCAACAGGAAACAAGCCAATACACAACTCTCATTCCTTTCCATGCATGTAACTACGTTTAAAAAATCATACACACTTACCTGAATTACGCAACTCCTTTGACGTTCGCCGTCAACACCGAATCGCTACGGTCAAGATTTCACCGCTGTCGGCCACTTAGCCACTCTGGCGTATGAGTGATATTTCAAGCGGTTGCTCGTTCATTTTTAAATGTGCGTACGAGGAGTATATACCCTTTTAGTCGCGTGTATGTGTACATTGTGCTTTGATAAGGCTCACATATTCTTGTGAAATATTTACCTGCGGTTTAAGATTATGCTGCAGGCACTTTTACAATTCGCCGCCGTTGGCATTTATCCTTCAACCCTCCGGCTGCGGCTCGACTTAAAGTCCACGGCCAACATGTGCGGCGACGTTGAGGGCCCTCTAGCGCGCGTGTGAAGTATACGTTTGTTTTGCTCGAAGCTTTTTTGCGTAAAGCATTTTATGTCAGCCTCTTAAAGCCCACGCGCGCACATTTTCACTTCTCAGTCACTTGTTTTAATTTTCGTTTTTTAAGTGTTTATTTATTTATTTTTAATGCATTTAAATCGTAAGCATGCATATATTCTCTTGCGTCTGCATTTGCTGTGTGTTGAGATAAAAAAAAAAACACGGTTAAGTGGAAAATTTGCTGCTTTTGGCCCTGAGTTGCCCTTTCGCACTCACTTGTGCAACGATGCAGTGAATATCCTCTCAGCGACCAACGTGCAAGGGCAAAAAGCTTACTTGCACATATTCCAAATATACAAGGTATAAAGCTGTGCGTATATACTCTTATATGTATATATATTTATTTATTTATTTACCTTTAAACGTTTCAACATTTCGTCGACTGCATAATACTTTAAACTGCATAAGTCCAGCTGTATCCATAACTGTCAGTGAGTCTAAGTCAGCAAAGCTCCAACTTAGTTTTTACATTTATACATATTATAGTACTACGTAAGCAACCTTAATACACAACTAAGTGCCTAAATAAATGCAAATGTGTTGATATTCATGCATACTTATATGCGCTGTGATCTCTTCTCTTCACTTTACTTACAATACTAGACACCTCCCAACTGCCACCAAACCACCTGCTCTACCGCCTTTTGACCATTTAATGTAAATTCCATGAAAACATCACCTTTAACTGGGTCACTAGTATATACATATGTACGCATATGTATGTGTGCGTATATGTAAATCCACTTATATTTGAATTTGCATTGTTGTTGGCATTTCATGGTCACAGCACGTTTACATATATGATAATTTGCATTGCTCATATGCACCTCTCTAAGCTGGCTGGTTCTGAGTACGAGTACGAGTACTTACATGTGATGGCTGCCAACAGGAGCTGAAAAGCATGAACTGTAATGTAATGAGCTGAATAGAGTTTATGTTTAGAAAATTGATGCACTCGAAAGGAAGAGCAGCATATATTAAAGCAGGAGAAATGGTTTTTGTTTGTAATATAATTTATTTATGAAAAATATGTATGTGTATTTAAATGACACAAGAAAATTTATATTTTAAAGTAAATTATTAACCTTTTTAAAATCGCATCCCTAAATTTTCTGTAGTTTTTTTTACTCATTTCTTTTGCTCTATAGTTCTTGCAACAGCGGAAGATCTTTATATTTTTTCTTTGGAAATATTTTCATAAATATATTTCCCCCTTTCATTTTTGAATTTCTCTCCTTATCAGTGTTAACTTCCAAGTACTGACGATCATATTTCTTCTTCTTCATTGGCGTAGGTACCGCTTATGCAATTACGGCCGAATCAACAATGGTGTGCGATTTGTTGTTGCTCTTGTTATTGCAGCGGTTCGCTAACCCCATTTAGAAACAAGCTAGATCAGTCTAAGTCATAGAGATCATCTTACTGAAGGTCCAGGTAACGAGCTGTTTCGACGAGCTCAGGTAATGGGGAGAAGAGGGTTAGAAGAGTTGCTTTTATAGGTACTCCTTGCTTACAGAACTTATGTTAGATATATCGTGATCGACTCTGGATGGATATAAGTTTAACCTGCTAGGTACGGTAGCCCTAAATTCTGCCAGTATTACGCGGTACCCTCGAGGCAGCTAGATTTTTTCGTCCGCCAAAGGTGGTGGTTTAACTCCGAGAATGCTATTTCCACGGAGAGGGTTCATGAATTTGTTAACGGACTCTTGGTGAATGGCATTTAGAGCTTGACTGTACACCGTTCTGTTATTTGGGTATTGTAGATGTTAAGTCGAATGAAGGTTCGGTCTGCTTGTACAGCAAGGAAAACTGATTCTCGCTATAGTCCCCAGCGTCCAGATCGATGCAGCATAATTTGCTACCGACCGACATATTGCCTTGTATGTTGTCAGCACTGTTTCTTTATCTTATCTCCAGGTGCAGCCTGCTAACGGTTTAATTTACTCCCAGTAACTTTGTGTTGTCGGATAGTCCGAATTTTGACACCATCGAGTTCGAGTCTGCCCTCCTTCATCAAGCTAGTGAAAAGGGTAGCCGAGGATTTTGCCGGTTGAAGATAGTCAATGACCCACATGACATAAAATCGCTTTAGCAGCTACAAAGCACTAATTAATCACTAACGTCTCTCAAGGTCAAATGAAAGTTTGTGAGAGATTATTTTGATATTTTCATTGCACCGCTTGGATGGGAAAATTTCTTATGTCCCTGGGGGAAGCCGGTTTAGATCACAATAGGGCAATAAAGTAAGTCAAGATAAGATACAAATGCGTGAATTCATACGAGGAGGCAATAAATAAAAAATAATTAAAGTATCACGGCAAAACACAGTGAAATGCCACTGTCAAGCCTTCAGCCAATTGAGACGTCAAATCTTCCACGGTGCCCCCGATCCAGCTAACATTTTTGAAAAAAATTAAAGAAATGAATTAAATCGAGATAAAAAAATAACTCTAAGGCTTATGTTTGGCTTACGATTAGTTCCTCGTGAGGCTACTTATAGATATTTAATTAAAAACTATGCTCCTCATGCTAGAAATAATCTCTGTCTTGCTCAATAAGCAAACAAACATGGTGATAATGGAATATACTCGCACATATGTATGCTAAACTTTTCGACTATGCGAAACGGCAGGATATGAGTGAAAAGTTTGTATACAACTATACATACCTCGAATGTAGCACTGTACCCACCATGCAATTACCAGTGTTCAGATCAAGCGATTCCCAAGGTAAGCAAATTTTTCTGATTTCGCTCATTTTTTTCATTTTTTCAGAAACTATTAAAGTTAAAGATTTGAAGCTTGTAACAACGAGATATGATATATTATGATACCAAAAAATTTAAACATTCATTTAATGAATCTTCACACGTGAGCGCAGTATAAACTGGTAGATTAACTGGCTAAAAAATTCAATATTCTTCAGAAAAATACCAGGTAGCATAATGCGTATTGCCGCACACATACTCGGGGTTATGAATCACTGTAGGGACTTTCCAGTGTATTCAAAAGCTAAAGTCAAATTAATTTCGCTTAGTGTGAGTTTTGAATGGTTGTCGTATATCGCGCTAGTGCTTTGCCGTCAAATCGTCGGGTACTGACTCTCAAGACCTATCTATATCTTACTAACATAATTTCCGTCAAGACTTGATGAACTTTTATTTTGGATACACTTAGATCTAAATGAAGCTTGACTTTCAGGTAAAACCCATTAGGAAATCGTGCTCACACTTTACAAATAACAGTACCATGAATAAAGTTTAAATAAGAAGTTTGTATATCGAAATAAATGAGAGTATAAAAGAAACAAAAAAAAAGAAAAAAGAAAAAAGAAATGAAACAAATGCAACCAAATACATTTTTCAAAAATTATTGAGAGAAGAGATACCAATGGAAAAAATGCACATACTCGTATACTTATCAGGTGTACAACTTTGCTTCCGCCGTTTTCCGGCTGAGGCTGATTGAAATACATAGATGATAATGCCTTTAAAGTGAGTGTGGACAGTGCCTAACGAATTGTCATCGCCGTTTCAGTGACAGTTGTTCTTGTTCTCGTATTATTCACGCTCGAGAATGTCCATTTATGTGCCTAATTCCCGCCATTTGCGGTTAGTTTTACTTTTCTGTTCCAATTCGAAAAAAATTGCAGCTGAAGCGCATCAAATTCTCTCAGAAACTTACGGTGATGCTGCTCTGAGTGAAAGAACGTGTCGGGAATGGTTTCAACGAATATTCACTGCGCCAAGGTTATGATTTGTATTTGGTGGGATCAGCTCGGTGTGATTTATTACGGGCTCTTAAAACCGTGTGAAACCATCACAGGAGATCGCTACCGAACGCAACTGATGCGCCTTAGTCGCGCGCTAAAAGAAGAGGGGCCACAATATCAAAAGCGACATGACAAAGTCCTCCTCCAACACGACAATGCTCAGCCCCACGTAGCAAAAGTGGTCAAAAAGTACCTGGAAACGCCGAAATAGGAAGTCTTGCCCCAACCACCGTATTCCCCAGATGTTGGCCCTTCTGACTTCCACCTATTCCGTTCGATGGCACACGGCCTGACAGATCAACATTTTCAATCCTTCGAAAAATTGGAAAAATGGATTGCTTCATGGATAGCGTCAAAAGAGGACTCCTTTTTTCGAGCCGGGATCCGAAAATTGCCGGAAAGATGGAAGAAAGTTGTCGCTAGCGAAGGACAATACTTTGAATAGTATATCTGTAAGCACTTTTCGTAATAAAGCTTTTAATTTTGGAAGAAAAACGGCGGAAGCTAGGTTGTACACCTGATACAATCCCAAAGTACATGCGGTTGCATCGTTTTTATGCAAAGATAATTTCGATTTGATAATATCTGGTCTACTTTGTCTATGTGCTAGGCGGAAAATTGGCAACGTTGCATTGAATGTAATCTGATTTAAAAAAGAATAAAGTTAGGAGAACTTCTGTGCTTCTTTTATGTACACAATATAGGGATATCCATTTTGTGTTTTCCAAAATAAAGTACTTTAGTTTGACATCTGTCAAGCTTAACTTTCAAACAAAACATGTTTTGTTTTAATTACAAGTCAGGCATTTATGAAATGCGACCGTAGAATGCATAAAATCCTAACTACAAAATTGGTGAATTCAACGTAGCCTCGTTTCAAGAAGGAAATTATGGTGCACATAATCATCCAACCCCTAAAACAATTGGTAAATTTTAATGAAATTTGAAGATACTTTATCGGTTTCAGATATTTTAAGGCCTCTGCACCATCGTATTCCACCTCAAATATCGCTACTGTAAGTGAGAATATAATTGAAGACCCAAATGTGTCCAATTCTCGACGTTCTCAAAAGCCCGGACTTTCTTACGACACATCGTACCAAATAATTGAAAGACCCCCAAAAAGCACTTACTCTCCTCTGGTGTGCTCTTTGGTCCGAAGATGGGACTCGACCTTACTTTTTTGAAAACGACTACGGCGAGGCTGTCACTGTCAATTCGGAACGTGTTAGTCGTATGATAACCGACTTTTATGGCATGCCA